TCTCAAAACAATAACCATTTGCTCCTTTTTGGACTCATCTCGAGCTTCATCTACAATTATGCAAAACTTCGAATCCCCAAGTTCTTCACGAATCTTATTTCGCACCATACTTGATAAAATATGTAAGATTTCTTTTTGGATGGTTGGCAAAGTATATTTGGCATTTTTAGGGGCATTCAAGACAACATCAACAACTTTTTCATTGTATGTGGCTAAAAACTTTATCAACTCAAGAAAGTTACCTCGATTTTTTGAATTGGGACGTTCATCATGGCCTCTAAAAGCACAACCTTGAGAAGTTAGCCAACAAACACTGTCTATTGACGCCTTTAGTCGCAAACGATTATTCATAATATGTTCAGAAGATTGCCTATCCATAACCTTATCAATATGTTGGGATTGCTTCATCAAAATATCACAACATTTCACGGCATTATTATGAGTTGAACACGGATCCTTACCCATATGGCATAGAAAGGCACAATTAATTCCATCATTCACTTTCTTCCAATTTCGAAATCCATCAATAGTGAATGCATTAGCTCCAAGCCGACCAGTTGGTTTTTTACTAAAAAGATAGCATGGTAGGCAATATGCAGCATCTTTTGAAGGAGAGTACTCTAACCAATGAAATATATTGAACCAAGATGATTGAAATCGACGAGGATGATTTATAGACCCAGACAGAGGATATTTTGAAAGAAGAAACTAATATGGTCCTGCCTTGATATAAGCCCTTCGAGTTTCATCTTGTTGATTAGTTGGATAATCCCATATTTGAGGACGTATCCCAGGATCACGCTCTAAGGAAGAAGTGTCTACATCTTGACATTCAACTCGTGGATTTTTTGAAGGATGTTGATCAGGAATTGAAGTCTCAATATTAGAGTTCAAGTTAGGCACATCAGATGTTGAATTTTTTTCTTTTAAAGAATGTATCAATTGTTTTTAGTTTCCCCATGACATGAACACATTTAAGCTTCTGATAACTTGAAAATTTTATTTATACATTATTTTTTTTATGAATCTAAACTTTTGATAACTTCAAATTTTATTTATATTACAAGCACATATCATCTTTAACAATATACAAAACATTAAATAAATTCAAACATAAAATATACAATTTATATAAACAGATTAAAATTAACAAACATAAAAACAGGGAGACTTACCTTCTATTGAGAAAAAAAGGAGAAATACTGATGATAGTGATAAGTGAGAACATGTCCAAAAGCTGGGAGTCATCTTCTCTACTAATCATAAGGAAAAAACCAAAATAAAAATGAATATCTCATTCTCTATTTATTAACTAAATATTTTAATTTTAAAATAAATTAATAAAAACAAAGTGAGTTCATGAGTTATTGAATGTTACCTTTCTTTGTCAATTGCTTTCTAAAAGGTGGGTTTTGTCGTTAAGAGTTATTGGTTCTCCTAGTTCATAGCAGAAAAAAAAAAAGAAGAGAAAACCATTTCAAATGAGAGCTTTATTTTTTTATTTTTATTTTTTTGAACTGCTCTAATCTGAGATGTTTGCTTGTTTGTTAAAGCTCCAAACTTCCTCTACAAGCTTGACATCCCATCCCACCACGTGACTCACTTGTGAGTTGTAACTTGTATGTCAAGCTTGTAGAGGAAGTTTGGAGTTTTAACAAACAAGCAAACATCTCAGATTAGAGCAGTTCAAAAAAATAAAAATAAAAAAATAAAGCTCTCATTTGAAATGGTTTTCTCTTCTTTTTTTTTTCTGTTATGAACTAGGAGAACCAATAACTCTTAACGGCAAAACCCACCTTTTAGAAAGCAATTGACAAAGAAATGTAACATTCAGTAGCTCATGAACTCACTTTGTTTTTATTAATTTATTTTAAAATTAAAATATTTAGTTAATAAATAGAGAATGAGATATTCATTTTTATTTTGGTTTTTTCCTTATGATTAGTAGAGAAGATGACTCCCAGCTTTTGGACATGTTCTCACTTATCACTATCATCAGTATTTCTCCTTTTTTTCTCAATAGAAGGTAAGTCTCCCTGTTTTTATGTTTGTTAATTTTAGTCTGTTTATATAAATTGTATATTTTATGTTTGAATTTATTTAATGTTTTGTATATTGTTAAAGATGATATGTGCTTGTAATATAAATAAAATTTGAAGTTATCAAAAGTTTAGATTCATAAAAAAAATAATGTATAAATAAAATTTTCAAGTTATCAGAAGCTTAAATGTGTTCATGTCATGGGGAAGCTAAAAACAATTGATACATTCTTTAAAAGAAAAAGTGTTGATAATTCAACATCTGATGTGCCTAACTTGAACTCTAATATTGAGACTTCATTCCTTGATCAACATCCTTCAAAAAATCCACGAGTTGAATGTCAAGATGTAGACACTTCTTCCTTAGAGCGTGATCCTGGGATACGTCCTCAAATATGGGATTATCCAACTAATCAACAAGATGAAACTCGAAGGGCTTATATCAAGGCAGGACCATATCAGTTTCTTCTTTCAAAATATCCTCCGTCTGGGTCTATAAATCATCCTCGTCGATTTCAATAATCTTGGTTCAATATATTTCATTGGTTAGAGTACTCTCATTCAAAAGATGCTGCATATTGCCTACCATGCTATCTTTTTAGCAAAAATCCAACTGGTCGGCTTGGAGCTAATGCATTCACTATTGATGGATTTCGAAATTGGAAGAAAGTGAATGATGGAATTAATCGTGCCTTTCTATGCCGTATGCGTAAGGATCCGTGTTCAACTCATAATAATGCCGTGAAATGTTATGATATTTTGATGAAGAAATCCCAACATATTGATAAGGTTTTGGATAGGCAATCTTCTGAACAGATTATGAATAATCGTTTGCGACTAAAGGCGTCAATAGACAGTGTTCGTTGGCGAACTTCTCAAGGTTGTGCTTTTAGAGGCCATGACGAACGTCCCAATTCAAAAAATCGAGGTAACTTTCTTGAGTTGATAAAGTTTTTAGCCACATACAATGAAAAAGTTGTTGATGTTGTCTTCAATGCCCCTAAAAATGCCAAATATACTTCGCCAACCATCCAAAAAGAAATCTTACATATTTTATCAAGTATGGTGCGAAATAAGATTCGTGAAGAACTTGGGGATTCGAAGTTTTGCATAATTGTAGATGAAGCTCGAGATGAGTCCAAAAAGGAGCAAATGGTTATTGTTTTGAGATTTGTTGACCAAGATGGTTTTGTAAGGGAGCGTTTCTTCGATCTTGTACATGTTAAAGATACTACTTCCTTGACTCTTAAGTTGGAAATAGCTAATGTCCTTTGTAGAAATAGTCTTGATGTTCAAAACATTCGTGGACAAGGATATGATGGTGCTAGTAATATGCATGGCAAGTGGAATGGATTTTAGGCTTTATTTCTAAATGAATGCCCCTATGCATATTATGTACATTGTTGGGCTCATCGACTACAATTAGCACTAGTTGCGGCATCAAGAGAGGTAATCCCAGTTCATAAGTTCTTTTCTAAGTTAACTTTCATTGCTAATATTGTTGGTGCATCTTGCAAGTGTAATGATGAACTACATGAAGCTCAAGCTACTGAAATTGCACACTTGATTTCCATTGATGAACTTGAGACTGGCAGAGGGGCAAATCAAATTGGCACTTTGCAACGAGCTGGAGATACTAGATGGAGCTCACATTTTAAATCAATATGTAGTTTAATAAAGATGTTTGGGGCAACTTGAACAGTTCTTAAAAATGTAGTCAATGATGGATCCACTTATTCTCAATGTGGGGATGCCGATGCAGCGTATGATATGATTTCATCCTTTGAGTTTGTTTTTATTATGCATTTAATGAGGGAAATTATGGGTAGAACTGATATTCTTTGTCAAGCTTTGCAGCAAAAAAACCCAAGACATCTCAGATGCTATGCATTTAGTTGCAACTACAAAAGCACTTATTCAAAAGTTGAGAGAAGATGGTTGGGACAGTCTCGTTGGGGAAGTAAAATTATTTTGTGAACGATATGAGATTGAAATACCTAACATGAGTGCTCGATACAGTGCAAGTCGAGGTCCACCTCGTATTCAACAAAATCACATAATAATCGAGTATCACTATCGAATAGATATCTTTATTGTTGCAATCGACTCTCAGTTACAGGAACTAAATCATCGGTTTAGTGAGCAAGCAATGGAGCTCCTTAATCTTAGCTCAAGTTTGGATCCTAAGAGTGCATATAATTCATTAAAAATTGATGATATTTGCACTCTTGTTGAGAAATTCTATCCTCAAGATTTCACAGAGCAAGAAAGAATTCATTTGAAATTTCAGTTGCAACACTTTGAGCTTGATGTGCCTCATCATCCGGATTTACAAAATCTCTCCACAATTTCTGAACTATGCCGCGGGTTAGTTAAAATGGGAAAGTCAAAAACTTACGATTTGGTTCATAGATTGATTCTTCTCATATTGACACTTCCTGTTTCAACCGCTACTACAAAAAGGGCATTTTCAGCAATGAATATTGTAAAAACTAGCCTTTGCAACAAAATGGAAGATGAATTTCTTACAGATTGTTTGGTTGTTTACATTGAGAAAGAAATCGCAGAAAATTTTAGCGCAGAAATGATTATAGATGATTTCTATTCTCTGAAGCATCGTCGAGCACAACTTTGATAGGAAATTATGTGCCTTTTTGTTAGTTTTACAGTAAAGGAGACAAGATATAGTCATTTTGTAACACACTTTTTGTTATATCAAGGTGTTAATATATAAAGAATTTTAATCTTTGTTGCTTCATAAATGGTTATATCTAGTGGATATTTATTTATTTATTTATTATTTAAGTCCACATTTATAATATTAATTTGGCCCCCCCAATTAAGAAATCCTACCTCCGCCCCTGAGCATATTGATAGATAGAGCTACTAAATATGGTGAATTACACAAATCACCCATGTGGTATATTAAAAATACAAATAACACCCTTATATTTTTTAAAATTACACTAACATCCATTGTTTTAAGGCTCCTATGGTTAGGATAAAAATGTTAGAAATTGAACAATACAAGGAAATGAACAAGTGAATGGCCATTGTAATCTGAAATATAAAATATTTAATGAGTTTAAGATTACTCACCGAGATTTGAAGTTCTTGTAAACAAGGGGAGTTCACAATCAAACGAAGAACCACCAGTCTCTCTTTCATGTCCTCAAAACTCACTTGATACAATTCAATAACTTTTAAATGGTTATATGCAACTGGAAGTTTTCCTAGGTCGTTACCTATACTCAAATACTTGACAAAAACAATAACATAAGAAAGCACTTTGGCCACGAGTAAGCACTAGACTGTGTTTTCCATAGAACCTAAATAAATAAAAAACAAATTTAGTAAAGTCTTACCTTGGTGAAGTAAATATGTCCAATAAGTCTCTCAAGGCATGGTACACTGCCAAGAAACTTATCAAAGTTGCAACTTGAACTTTGTTCAAAATGCTCGGCAATATCATCAGTCATATACATAGCAACAGATATAGCAAGCAAAAGTGGGGTATTTTTGAGACATATGTCTTTAAATTCGCCTTCCAGACACAAGTGTTTGAGATTCGGAGCACAGATAGTAAGAGCTAAACTATCAAAGTACGATAACGTTAGACTCTCAAGAAGAGGGCAACTTGATATGAGACTTTCAACAACATCGGGGGCAATTAAAACTTGTTGAAGATTGAGGTATTTGAAACATAAGAATCCTTTAGAAGTCAGAGGAGGGTCCAATTCACATCGAATTAGCTCCAAACGAGTCAATCCTTTAAAAGTAAGATAAGTCTCTCAAGGTATGGTACACTGCCAAGAAACAAGTCAAGTGAGCTTTGCAAGTGTGTGCTAGACAAACTGAACTTGTGAATTGGTCCATCATGAAGAAACGTTAGCCCATTTACACCTCCATTTACTTGATAAACTACATGTTCTTACTACATCTCCTATCGGAAACTTTGTTAGGATGGTTTTATAATACTTCGAGGCAGATCACTAATCAAATCTTGCCCTATAACATTATCCATGTGCAGTTTTCAG